AGGCAGGCAGGCAGGCAGGCAGGCAGGCAGGCAGGAAGGAAGGAAGGAAGGAAGGAAGGAAGGAAGGAAGGAAGGAAGGAAGGAAGGATGAGTTTGATGTAAGGTGCTGGCCTTAGAAATCAAGTGATTGTGAGTTAGGCATGAAAGCTGACTGGATAACTTTGTGCCAGTCATTCTTTCTCAGCCCAACCTACCTCATAGGGGTTTTGTTCTGGGGAAAATAGGAGTATATTTGTGGCCTTGAGTTACTTATAAAGTAATAAAGGTGGATAAAAATCTAAGGAAGGAAAGATGTTTTTGAAAGAAGCTGGGTGGTGGCAGAGACTTAAAACAGAGATGAAAGGCAGGATACAGGTCACTAATGGGGATGAAAATACTGGCATGAAAGTCAAATTCATGCCAGTATTTTCCCATAAACCATAAGGTGGAAAGGAGTAACTCAGATAGGGAAAAACTGTGTTGCTAATGAAATATCAGTAATACAATGGTGATTCCAAAACTTATCTTCAGATCCAACCCACCTTAATCTTTAAAATATATAAAATATAGTAGTGTACAAAATAACATGAATGATATATGAGTGCCTTTATATTGAATTTATTAATCTAGATTAAATAGATTGAAAGTGACATCTTGAAATCTGGTTATTTCTGCATTTAATGTATCTGGAAGGCTATCAGAATCAACATCCTTCAGACATTGAGACAGGAATATCATTTACCAATTAGATCTTTTGGAGAGAAGGTGCAGGAAATGGTAAATTCAATCATTTCTGTTTGACTGAGATGGTCCTTAAATTGCAACTGGAAGGTGGTCACAACCCCAAAGGAGTTTATTTCCTAGGACACAAAGAGAGTAGGAAATGATTAAGCATCATATCACAAAGTACAATTTAATGTTAGGTTTTCAGGGTATTTTATTTAGGTTTTCTCTTGGCTGGCTAGCACTAGCAATAGCACTTAGACTTATATACCGCTTCATAGTGCTTTTACATCCCTCTCTAAGCGGTTGACTGAGTTAGCCTAGTGCCCCCAACAATCTGGATCCTCATTTTACCCACCTCAGAAGGATGGAAAGCTGAGTCAACCTTGAGCCGGTGAAATTTGAACTGCCGAACTGCAGCTAGCAGTTAGTTGAAGTAGCCTGCAGTACTGCACTCTAACCACTGCGCCACCTCGGCTGTTCAAAGTTCAAATGCAGCTCTTAACTGCAGCAATTTATGTACCTTTGCCCGAGATGGCTCCCAGGAAGATTATTTTCTCCATTCATTAATACAGAAAAAGAAATGGCCTCTTTGGAAATAGCGTGAAGATTACAGTAACACATCTAGATGGTGGAAGAGAAGGAACAAGAACCTGCTACTGAACCAAAGAGGGTTTTGATACTGGCTTATAATAAACAAGCAGGTTGCTTACTCCCAGAAGTAAAGGAAGTCGACTACAGGTTTGTTTCTAGGAAGCAGGAACTTCCTAGAAGTATGTTTTCTACCCCCAAAGCAAGATACAACAAAGAATCCCCCTATTTCCTGCCATTCAGTGGTTCCCTGGACTTTTTACAGTCCAGATATGGTGTGGCCATTTTCTCTCCTTGCGTTCTTTCACAGAGAGGTAAGAGGAGGGAGACGAAGGAAGTGAGTGAGCAGCACTGATTGCGAGGAAACCATGAACAATTTCCAAGGTTAGCTGCCAACAGTATCGTGTTGTTACTAACGAGGCAACATGAGGAACATCAGGAGAAAAGGTAATAGCAGCCACAGGAGCAAGTGGGTGATCCTTCACTTGCTCACTCTTCTGCTTTATTCTGGGCTAGTCTTCCATCATGGCTCATGCTTGGGCTGGAGACATCCAGATGATCACAAGATGGCAGTGCAGAGACATTGCAAACCCACTCTTTGCTACCTTTTAGTGCCATCCAGATGTTTGTCACCTAGATCAGGGGTTTCCAACCTTGGCCACTTGAAGCCTGGCAGACTTCAACTCCCAGAATTCCCCAGCCAGCAAAGCTTAAAGTGGCCGAGGTTGGAGACCCCTGACCTAGATTGTTGGAGCTGAAGGCAGCAAGGGGGAGTCCAATGCCTACCTGTGCCTGCAGACCCCGGGAGGCTTGTTCACAATAGTTACCCACGGTTCCCACTCCATCCTGAAGGGCACCCCTTTACATTCTTCAATGGAAGGGCTGCCCAGACCAAGGTTTGTCATACCTCCAGAAACACGTGAGTGGCGAGCTTCGGCACTCTCAGGACCAGGTGAGTTTGATTGACCTGCAATCCATACTCAAGGGTCTGTGCAGTCTCTTGGGTGAGACGTGTGTTTCCCACAAAGGGCAACCAATTCTGATCCACATTGCCAGCTTTCACCACTAAATAGAGGGCTTCGTTATCACAGAATCCTTCTGCGCGAGGCAGCACTGGAGAGAAGAGGAAACAAGATGGGTGGCCTGTCCTTTTACATTCCCACTCACTGCACCAATCCCCAAGCATTTCCCATTCACATTTCTGACAGCTTAGTTTCACAGAATGGCATGAGCAACTACTTGATTATATATGGCTGTGTGTGTGTAGGTGTGTATGTTCCAGCACAACTCTGGAACGGCTTGAGCAATTTCAACCAAACTTGGTACACAGATGACTTACTCTCTGGAAAAAATAATATTGTGGGAGTAAGCCACCCCTAAAATCCTTCGGGGTAGTGTGTTCTGTTAAGATACAGCCTGTTGTGCCTTAAAGTGGCTTCTACTGTAAAACGCAGTAGAGTTGCCATGGTAATGGTAATTTCACAGTACTCCACAAGGAGGCTCCCTCTGGTAAGGGGGAAAATCCAACATTAGAAATTACATTTGGTCCGGACATTTCCCCCTATAAATAAATACCTGGACAATGCCGGGTTATCAGCTAGTTCATTATACAAATGTCTAGCTACATCATAGTGCTACTGTTTAACTGTCTTATTTAAAAAAAGTATTAAGATATCAATGAAAGGCTATAATTGTTTGTAACAACATTAGAGTAACATCTTCTGGGTCAATAGAATATACAATAATAAAGTTGGAAGGGACCTTGGAAGTCTTCTAGTCCAATCTTCTGCTCAAGCAAGAGACCCGAAACATTTAGTGCATAGAATAATAGAGTTGGAAGGGACCTTGGAGGTCTTCTAGTCCAACCCCCTGCTTAAGCAGGAGACCCTAGACCAGTGTTTCTCAACCTTGTCAACTTGAAGATGTCTGGACTTCAACTCCCAGAATTCCCCAGCCAGCATGCCCTAGACCATTTCAGATATCCAGACCTTATTTTCAATTCACTAGCTTACCTTCTAAGTTGCAGTGGAAATGTATACTACTATCCAAGGATCTATCTTCCAGGTTCTAACCATATTATTATTCCATTATATCCATAATGGAAAGAGGCAGAAAGTATTAGCTCCAATCAACTCACCTGCATCCCTCACTAAGGCAAACAGAGGGACTGGGACTTCAAAGAATTCTCCCTGGGGAATCACAACAAATTGCAATACGGGATTGGTAGTATAATTTCGAAAATGTTCTGGCACATACTGGGAAAAGTTAAAACGGAAAGCATTAATTTCTACATTATCACTAACAGTGTAACTATTAACTAAGTGAGCTTAGTATTGGTTGCATGCAATCTATTTAGATGGATGAAATTTATGGATTACAAAATACGTCCCTTTCTGTAACTCTACATTAAAATCTACACAATATCTAACAATTTACATAGATAAATGGACTGACTCAGATGGTTGCAAACTCTTTAGAGCAGCCTTATCCAGCCAAGCAACCTCTAGATATCAGGACTTGGCTTATTTCAATTTCCTAGCCAACATGACCATCGTTATGAATTCTGGGAGCTGAGGACCACGAATTTGGAGAAAACCAAGGTCATGGAAGGCTGATTTTGACTCCATCTTCGAAAAGTTAAACTGCAAAACTTGTTTACATGTGTAGCACATTGAAACACTGTCATACCTCTACCACAGATACCCTACAGCAGAGGTGTCAAACTCAAGGCCTGCGGGGACGAATCCAGCCTGCAGGATGCATAGATCTGGCTCACGCGGCCCTCCTAGAAACAGCGAAGGACTGGCCTAGAGTGCCTCTGCCAGTGAAAACGGAGCTCGGGAGGGCTGTGTGCAGAGGCAGAGGGTTGCAGGAGGCCATCACAGATGAAAACAGAGCTCGGGGGCCTGTTTTTGTTGGCACAGCACTCATGCTTCCACAGGAGCCCCCAATATGAGTGGCATCAAGCTGGCCACCCCCACCCCGGCCACCCCCCTGGCTCCCTGAGGTCAAACCCAACCCTGATGCAGCCCTCAATGAAATCACGTTTGACATCCCTGCCCCAGATGTGGGTGCTCCTAGTTTGGCCTGGTTCGGCCAAGCCAGTAGTGGAATTCAAGCCTGGGTCGCAGAACAGGCAGCAACCCAGACCTGCAAGCCCCCGAACCAGTTCCCTCACCACCGCCGGGCCGCCACCATTTTGGATTTTAGTGACTGTGCATGCGCAGTTCACTATAAATTGTTCTGCGCATGCAATTTACATTGAAAAGTGCACACGCGGGTTGTAATAAAACCGGCAGCAACCCACCCGTGCCCTGCCCTACAGCTTGAATCTTGGCTCCCTCTTTTATACAATTTAATAAAAGATGTCCATGCGTTTTAATCCTACCTCACCAAGTATTCCTCTGCAAATACAATTATCTAACACCTACTTTTACCCAGCCTTTGACCAACCATGTTCCATTTTGCGCTGGGGAGGGAAGGGAAAGACATTCACAAGGCCTAAAATTATTCTGAAAACTAAGGGAGGATAATCCATCCCCAGGTTAGAAATTCCCAGGAATTCTCAGGAACGGATCGCCCAAATATGTATTGGTACTCAACAAAGAATGTCATTTCATGGAGTTACAAAAATGGAGATCATTTTTGGTTGAATTATTATATTGGGGTTAAAAGGAACTTCAGCAGTTCTGTTGCCAGTGCTCTTTTGCTACTAATGATAAGACATCCCACAGTGACACCTGCAAGACCTACATTGATATCTGTTCATACCTCCTTCTCAACTCCAGGGCTATCAAATGAGATCTGCACAAGGTAATCTTTGCTGCCGTCGGGGTGTTTGATTTCAATGATCTTACAGCCCCATTTCTCAGCCTCAGGCAACGGCAAGGGCCCCGAATGACCCACAGTCACACGAACCAGGTTTACATCTGGCAAGAAGGAGCCAACCGTTGCATTGAAGAGCTTGAGATTAATCTTTGTATCTGCAGGGGGAAGAAAACCATTTGAAGGAAAAGTCTGCTTTGAGCTTGACGTTCTCTCTCATCTTTTCCTCCAACTGCTTTGTGAATGACACCACCCCCTCCCCTTTGGCTGATTCTAAGACTTGAATAGCCAATATGATGCCCACAGGCACCAGTGTACACAGGGAGATACCTCTTGATGCTCACCAGACTCTTCTATCTAGTGTAGTGACCATTAAGCAGACTAAGCAGGTGCTTAGGGCATCCGGCCCCCAAAGGGGGCACCACAAAGTTGAGAAAGAAAGAAAAAACCCAATGAAGATTTGTACAGTATGTATAAAGGAGGGGGGCACCAAGATTTATCAGTGCTTAGGGCACCAGTGAGCCTTAATCTGCCACTGCTCTTACCCTATTTAATGTGGATGGCATTGTATGAACTGTTAAATAAATCTGTTGGAAAGTTGGCATGATGGCAAAGCAAAGCATCATCAGCTAGTGTGGTCCTTATCAGTAATGGGCAGAAAATAGAGTTGGTATCCACTGGAAAGATCATCAAAGGTTGATGTCTCTTGTCCAGGGGCAGCCATTTGTTATGTTTCTGTTGAGTGTTGTTTTTTAAAAAAAGCTAGGGTGATAAGGAGGAGGTAGTGTACATTAGGAACGGACAATTTACAGGCCGCTACCCAATGCCCATTTTCTGGGTGTCAGGTCAACCCTTACTGTCAAAAGTGGTGCATTTTCTCTTCCTTTGCCATCTGTTGCCACCCCTGCAAAAGGCTGCAAATAGATGCTGTACGTTAAGCCGCAGTGAAGCTGACTTTTTGAGTTCAGATTTCCCCCCCCCCCTACACACACACACACACACACACACACACACATGCACGTTCCTCTCTATATATATGCACACAACACATCAAGAATGGTTTGG